AACCATGTATTTCCCATATGAAAAGGATTGGTATATATATACCATCTAATTGTATAGGGTGCATGTATAAATGACTAGTTTGGTTCATGTACTTGACCATTCGAATCATTTGTAACATCACACCCAACCCACTCACCAGAATCTGCTAATGTTTACAGAGGCAAAAGGAAGAGGCAAGTTATATATCCAATCATATGGATGCAAAATTGTACAATGCTGCTGTTTTGGGCGACATTGATTTCCTAGTGCAAAACAAGGATAAACTTGTGGATGAATCGACTCCAAACAACAACACTGTCCTTCATCTTGTTTCCCTACTAGGCAAAGGTATATGTGTGACAGAGATCCTTAAAATGCACCCATTGTTGATACGTCGAGTGAATTCAAACGGGGACTCCGCGCTTCACCTTGCAGCGAGAAATGGAAATTACCATGTAGTCCAGGAACTCATCAGATGTGCAAAATCACTTGATAAAGAGGTTGAAAGTGGTATTGGATTTGACAAGGTGATTCAGAGGATGAGAAATGAGTGCGGAGACACACCCTTATTCGATGCTGTTCGGCATAATCACTTTGATGTTGTCGAATTTTTGGCACAGGAAGACCCCAAGTTTTCTCATACTGCCAATAATATTGGGGAAACTCCACTTTACATTGCTGCTGAGAAAGGATTTGATGACTCAGTGGCAGTGATCTTGGAAAAATGCACATTACCAGGTTATGGTGGTCCATGTGGTAGAACAGCTTTACATGCAGCAATAATCTCCAATGGTGCAGGTACATAGTGCTAAATTGAGAATTAAGGTTTTATCATCAATATTTTAAATTGACTATATAAATCTTATTTCGTTATTCTTTTTTCCATTTGAGATTAAGCCGAAAAATATGATTCTTTTTTTTAAAAAAAATAATACAACCCACTCTAATTCTTATTTTCTTTTCCCAATAATATTTGCTAACATCTGTCCTTTTCCCTTGTGTCAGTAAGTACAAGAAAATTGTTGGTCTGGAAGCAATCTCTAATCAATGAAAGAGATGAAAGAGGATGGAGTCCACTTCATTTTGCTGCTTTCTTTGGTCGTGCATACAGGGTATCCCAGCTATTAACTGTGGATAAATCTATTACATACATTGCAGACAATGACATGAACACTGCTCTTCATATAGCAGCTACGAGAGGGGAGATTGATACAGCCCAAAAAATCATATTAGACTGTCCAGATTGTTGTGAAATGGTGAATGACAGTGGGCAAAATATACTTCACATTGCATTCAAGTACAAGAAGAGCAACTTTGCCCAATATATTCTACGAAACTATGAAGCAATCAGTGCTACACTTGTAACTCAGAAAGACGTCGATGGCAATACGCCTCTCCATCTCATGGCAGCTTCCACTTGCTTTGCACCTCTACTCGTGGATCATGCTATGGTAGATAAGAACTCCTTCAACAATAAAAACTTGACTCCCTTGGATCTCATTGAGGAATCCGAAGTTAAAGTTCATCCAGTAAGAAAGCCCTACTCTTTCCTTATGTTTGTGGAGTTGTTGTGTTATTAATGCTAATAGGATCTAAAAAACTGATATAATTTATCGACCTAATGTATGACAACTACTATGGTTTAGTAACATTACTGCAATTGTGAGTGTTGAACTTCTAAATTGGGATCATTTCAATTTACACATTATTAAATCAGTAAAATAAGTCACATTTGAAGTCCAAAAAAGGTTCTAGAATACTAGTCTAGCACACTTCATCGTTTGAATAGTTCTACAAAAATCATCAATTTTCATCAAAATTTTCAAACTTATATCCTTAATGTACTCAGAAAGAAATCAATCTTCGCACCATATCGCACACACATGGCCGAGGGAACCTCTCTTATAATATGAACACCAACTAAATTGTTGAATTATCTACTCTGATTGTTGCACCAGAATCTTCAATCTAGCTTTGATTGAGTTCGCTCATGATCATCAATCCAATTTTGATACTACTAGTTGGAATTATTTTGTTTAACCACAAATTCATGATTCCAGAACTAAAATTGCAGGTATTAATCAAAAACCTACTAAGCGCAGCCGGAGCAACTCTGGGCTTTCGGAATATTAGGAGCATAGAAGAGAAAGATCAAGATCCTAATCCTCTTGGAAAAGATAAAATCAGAGAAGAGATTAGGAAAATAGGTGACAGTTATAATATAGTGGCTACCCTCATTGCCACCGTAACCTTCACGGCCGGATTCACCATGCCTGGTGGTTACCATCAAAGTGGCGATCTAAACCAAGGAATGGCAGTTCTGTCAAGAAAACCAGCTTTCCAAGCATTTATCATCTCAGATACCATTGCTCTGCTACTCTCTTCTATAGCCATATTTCTCATTTTTGTGAGCTTGTGGATTGATAACATATCCGTACTTGCAAAAATTCAAGAACACGTCGCCAGTCTTATTCTTGCTGCCATCGGAGCAATGATGGTGGCGTTTAGTACAGGGACTTATGTGGTATTGGGTGAATCATCAGCCCTTGCAATTACCACATGTGTCATTGGTGTCATTTCTATACCCATTTATTTTTCAAACTTTTATAAGATATTCAATGGGATTTTCAATAGTGACAAAGTCATATAATGCATACCCTATAACAATTGAGCTTGCATTGTACAAATCCTTTTCAGGTTGTGCATTTGGTAGGGTACATTTTTCTTTTTGTGTGTAGATTATTAATGTTTTCATATTCCCATATTTTTCGAAAAATCAAAAAGATTTTTTTTTATCTACTCAGTTGGTGTCATGTACAAGGGAAAAGCTACGGTGCTGCCGGATGGGAATGGGGGTGGGGGTGGGGGTGGTAGAAGTTGTGATGGAGCGGTTCTAAACACTATTTTGTTTTTTAATGTACTTATGAAAAATAATTCTTAAAAATATTTTTAAAAAATTATTTTAAACACACCTTTAGGGACCTTTTGTCTTATTCAATTTTGAGTTTTAATATTAGCCGTCAGATTATTTTTAGAGTAAAATTTAAAGAGATCTCAACTGCGAATAACAAAAGTCATTTTATTTGTCTTTTGAAATTTGAATTGTATTGTATTTTATTACTAGTTATTGCCCGTGACTGAAGACACCATATAACCCATAAAAAAAATCAAAAGTAATTGTCCATCTTGAAAAAATAAGTGGGTCAAAAACATTCATACTAATTCTTTTAAAATGATATGAAAAATAATGTCAATTATATCGTTCATATTAATAGAACTATCTAAAAAATGTATAGAAAAAAATCCCCAAAACAATATCAAATATACAAAGTACCTCGGGAAAAAAATACAAATGAAATCTAATAAATTTTATAATTTTTACGTAATAAATAAAATCTTACTCATTTATAAGACATATGAAGTTATCACCATTGTCACCATTCAACCAAATAACACAATATAATTATAAATTGTGAAAATTAAGGGTGAGTCCCCCTAGATAAAATTATAATGACTTAAGTCCTGGAAAGAAACTTATTTGGGGGTAAGTTCATGTTTAAACTTATATGTAGGTATTTAAGTCCACTTATTTTTTAAATCTCAAAATTACTCCTAACGGTGTTAGTTTTGTCCAGTTATAGAAAGTCACATATGTTAGATCATTTAGGTATATATGGAAACCTTGATTGAATTATATATGAAAACCGTTTATTAAATATTATGATAATTAACGAAATTTTTATATGGAAATTATATATTCTGATAGTTATATATGGA